CCCTTCGCACTCGCGTTAAACCCACGGCCCCGGGCAAACTCCCTGCATCCAGCCGGGAATTCCAGGCTGAAACTGGCGCCGGGCTCAGCCCCGGTACTGCTCGATCGTATCCTAGTATCAGCCCAGCGCAGCCTGCGAGGAGAGGGAGAGGCTGCTCGTTTGTAGCTTAAAGCGCCGAAAACAGCCATTCTCATGTTTGGATTTATTGGATTTATTCCCTTCCAACTCGTAATAGATTCTCTAGAGCATCAGAGAGATTATTTTATAAAGTAAATTCAGAGCAGGCTGTTCATTAGATCCCATTATTATTAAAAGGGGACGATCAGTAGGAAAAAAAAATCATCTAATTTGGAGGAAAAAAAGCGACACATTTTAAATAATTTCTGTAACTTTTGCTACCTTTGGCGTTTTTGGCAAGAGAACAAATAAAAAGCCGGAGGAGTTGGATGTGTTTTTCCCTCTCTCTCTCTCTCTCTGTATTTTTTTCCCTTCTCAGTGCCACATAACAGCCTTTCCTCCTTCAACTTCAAAGAGGACTGAAAGGACAAACATTCTGATACAGCTAATAATACACGGAGAGAAAGAATTTGCATTCCTTAGCAAATATAAGTGCTCATTAATAGAATCGTGTATTTGGCTATGAACATCTTGCCAGTACCGCTGGGAGACAGAAAAGTGTTCGTGTGGGGAGGGTTTGAGGAAGAGTTTTGATTGACGTTATAGGAGCCACATCTTCCCCTTTCCCCCCAGTCATGTGTATTAGGTCAACGATTACTATTTAAAAAAAGGGGGGGGGGGGGGAGGAAAGGAAAAGTGAAGTAATAATCATAAAGGAACAGATGGGGACAGAGTGCTCTGCGACTTCTGAAAGGCACAGCAAGGACTTGCTGCCTATAAACTCATCAAGGTAATGCTAATTTCCCTCTTAGGCCGTGTTGTAGCTCCCAGGCCGGCCGCTTTGCCACGGGGTCCCGCATCCGGACCTCATCCTCATCCATACCCACGCCCTTCGGGGGTGCCGCTTCCCCCCATTTACCTCCTCCTGAGGGTTTAGGGAAGAGGAGTCACCCCCTTATGGGGCTCCGGCTGCGCGGAGGGGCACGGATGGGTGCGGAGGGGCGCGGGGCTCTCTCCCGCACGCTTTCTCGCCTCCCGGCTCCCGCGGGCCCTTCGCCGTGCTGTGCCCATAGGGCACGAGCCTGATCTATAGGTGCCCGTAGGTGCCCTGAGCTTCTCCATTGGCAGGGCACCCATTTTGAGGCCATCGATCTGGGGTGCAGCATCCCTATGGACCACCCCGGGAGCTCTCTTTTTCCAGACAACACTTTCCCAGTCTCTAAGCTGAGGTGATTCTATAGGTGGTAATAATAGGGATATAGGTGGGAATAATGGGGATAATAGGTGTGAAATAGTAAACAAAATTAAAGTTGCTTTGTGATTAAAACTTTGTCCATCTGCCTGAGCTAAAGACAACTTCAGTGATTACTCAGTTTATTTTACCATCATGTGAACTCTATTTTTATTCCCAGTTACCATACTATAAATTTGGACATCTTCTTCCCCATAGAGAAGTCTTCTTCAAGAGGGAATAAATCAGCTCTGTGTGAACCCCAGGAAAGTTTACTGACACCTGTTTTCAGCACAATAAATTCTATAAAAGGGTAAAATCTTAGAGAAATTAAAAAGCAGCTTTGCCTTTTAAGGTGATTATTTGGGGTTCTCTCTCCTGGCTTATGCCCACAGTGACTGTTTCACATCTTGCTACAAAGGATGTCCAAATATCTGGGCAGCACAGACTGAGTAGGGGTGTCTGCAAGGCGACTGAGAGAGAAGATATGCTGGATCAGAACTGCAGCTAGACATAGGGACTACAATTTGATCACTGGGTTTCCATCATCTGGTTTAAGCATTTTAAAGGTGAACAATGTATCTTGAACTGCCATTTTGAAGGGACTGTTGAGTTTATTATTACTTCAGTCTTTAACATCAGGTTTGGATATCTAGAGATGCTAACCCCTCATTCAGCTGCAAGGTTGAGAGCTCGGTATAAACTCTGAGCAAGGATACAAACCTCTGCTGACTTTTCTACACCACACGTTGTTGCTGATGGTTCCTTTTTGGCTTTCACTCTTTCAGACTTATACAAAGAAGTTGTCTTTGCCTGGTAGTTTCTTTAGTTTTTGTTAGATTTGGGAGCAGCTTTTATGCGTTAATGTGAGTGTATTTATATTATTCAAACGCAGTGAACATAATTTGCCTACAACTTCAGTGGGACCATATTTCACCAGAGATGCATGTGAACACCAGTGCTAGGAAAGCATCACTTGTGGTTCTCTAGGATGGTTTGTGTACGGCAAGAGCAGAAACATGCTTTGCCTTCAAAGAAGTCCTGTATTTTATTAGCATAATCTGTAGAAATTGTCACTCAGGGGCTTGTTGTTGGCTTAGGCCCAGCAGTCACTGGTCTGGTAACCTCCTGGCTAGGTCTGGGATTAAAAAGTCGAAAGTTTTTGGTTCATTCAGAAGTGGGAGCCTCCGTCTGCTCACACTGACGTCTGCGTTGCCTCTTTGTTCTGTCCCAGTGGTCCCCAGCCCACGCTGGCCTCAGAATAATAATATCAAGCAAGGAATGCGCTGTTTTGTTTTTCTGCTCCCCTGTCCTCATCCTTTTTAACTGCTTAGGCTGTGAGCAGCCTTGGAGGGTCCATAAGGTTAACAAATTGGGAATTTCAACCCCCTTTGTTTCAGCCTCCCCTGAAACATGCCTGTTGGCTTTGCTCCGGGGCCATGAACCCAGGAATCCTTCCCAACAGACAGCATCAAGGTCCCGCAAGCTCACAGGGCCCTAAGCTGCTGGGCCAGCCTCAGCAGGGGACTGCCCCAGGGTGAGGAGCATGGATCTTCAGGGATGAAACAAACTGTTTCAGATGCAATGAATTGGACATCTGTTTCATCAGAGAGGAAAAGAAAAAATTCATCAGCTGTAATGAGAGATGCTAAGATATTTTGGTATGTTGATAGGCTGCCTCCTGCTCCTCACAGCTGGAACAAATACACTACCTAATCTATTGGCCCCTAGGAATGATTTTTTTTCCCTTGGGTAATACCTTTTCTGCACATCAGAGCACTGGATTATCGGTAGCATGCACTCGATGCTTTTCAGTGCACTCTTTAGTGGTATTGGGTTATTGCCAGTCTTCAATTTACCTGCAAGTCCTCTTATCTTTAGTCTGTGGATCCACTTTATGCTGGATTTCTTAAATACATTATGTCTTCCTGTACAAGCTATTGTTTTTTAATCCAGCAGCTCTACCAGTGCTAAAAGTCTAGTTTGTTTATTAATAAGGGATCTGCTTTAACCCTCAGCTTGTCCTCTGAGATTCACCTCCTCCAAATGCTTCCCTACCTTTTACATGTGCTGGACCAGGAGGGCAGGACTTGTTCCTACATTAAGAACATCTCAGTGTTGTCCATCACCTGCAGTAGTCTGTTGCTCAGTGCTGGGTGCCCTCCCATGTGCTTTTTGTTTTATAAAGAGCTCATAGAATCATAGAAGAGTTTGGGTTGGAAGGGACCTTCAAAGCTCATCTAGTTCCAACCCACTGCAATGAGCAAGGACATCTTCAACTAGATCAGGTTGCCCAGAATCCCTTGGTTCATGGGATTGTTATTAGCAGCTTTGTGTGGATTCTGAAAGGTTTTCTGGTGTGTTCCTGAACCTGATTACATTTCCCCCTTTCCTGATTACATTACAGGCCGGTTTTGTGCACAGGTTCAGCAAACTGAACTCTACAGTTGTTTGTGCTAACTTATTTTTCCTGTAAATACGGTATTCTTTTTGCAGCCTGTTCTGGAAGGAATCCTTCTGCAGCTCTTATTTACACCATTCCCAGCTGCTGTGTTTCTCAAGGTGCAGCTCTTCTGCTTTTATGAGTACTTTCCTCCTTGCAAACAGCTGACCTCTACCCAACCCATCTCACACACCACGGGCTGAAGAACGCTGTGAAAGATGTTTCTGCTTCTAACACAAAGCATGTGCTTTTCTTTTGAAAAACAGTGACCAAGTATAGCTGGGATTTTAGCCAGGCACTTGCAGACCAACTTCATTGCATTGCCTACAAGAGGACTATTACATCCCAGTGGACAACTGCCTTTTCCAAGCTCCTTGCATCTGCCCCAGCAGTGGCCCATTTCCAAAGTGCTGTCACCCACGTTTGTTCAATACTTGCTGTATTATAGTCTCTTCTGGAAGCAGGATCCTGTCTGAAGCTACTGATAACAGCTTGTTGTGCTGTTGACACGGTTGCAGATCCTGTGGCTCCCTATATTTCTTTTTTTAGCAGCAGCATTCCTGCTCTCTATTTTTTTTTTAAGCCTTCCTTTCATTAAATTGTGCTGATACTACAGAAAATTGTCAGCTGTCCATTCCTTCTCTAGACATGGAATGTATCTATATGTATATATATGTATATATGTATGTATAATCACAGCAAGGGGAAGAAAGGGTCAGGTGTTGCTATGGAAAGAGACTATTAATCTGGGACAGAACTGGTAGTAGGGGAGGTGAGAGCCTTCCCCTGCACAAAATAAGCCTTTAAAAGGAAGCTCACGAAGAGCTCAGCCCTTCTCCAGGGAACACCTGCCCCAAGTTCAGTAATTTGGTAATTTGCTCCTCTTATTGCTTGCCTTTGATGAAGGCTCTTCAACCAGATTTTCACTGATCTAAATGCAGCCTAGTTTCAACTAGTCTGGGTTAAATTAGAAAGAAGATTTGTATGAGGTATTGGCTTGAATGCTTTACAAAGAGCTTGATGGCAAGGTCCTGAAGATTATCATATGTTTCTCAAAAATCCTGTGATGGCTCACACCAGCCAAGCATCTACTTATATGCATAAACCACCTTTCGCTTTTAACGATGTATCCAAAAGGAAAGAAGAGGAAGTTGGAGGCAAGGTGAGACATTATCCCCTTTCTTGTCTATTCTGTTATGCCCCTTGCAGATCAAAGCTGCATAACACTCTCTGGTCCATCATGGTCTTGGGTATCATCAGGGACTGTCACATCAACCAGCCTGTGGCAGAGGAATTCAGCTCTGCTCTTATTCACTAACTCCATAGCTGCCCAGGAGGAGGGAGTGGAGGAGAATCCACTGGTGCTTTTGCAGAGCTGGTTTCCCTTTGCTCCAGATGCACACAAGTGGCTTCAACTTCCCGAGGCTCCCAGTGAGGATGGGATTGGAGCAGCCACTCCAACCCACCAACTGGTCTTTACCTAAGTGCCCCACAAAACAGAGGTGACACATTATTGACTGTGACATCTGGATTGCATTTAAAACTAATAGGATGAAAGGTAGATTTGCCAGCTGAATTTCTGATCTATAAAGCTTAGGTTGCACTCTGGGTGTTTTTACATCATCAGAAGAATTTCACCTCTGTGTATATTTTTAGCAGCCTGTCCAATAGCTTCATACTGGTTCTGGCTCAGCACTGGAGCTAGGAGTAAAGAGTTAAATTAGTTTCTTCCCATAAAGCAGGATTTTGCAACCCATTTCACTTTTCCAGCCCCTTCTGTTTTTCTCACTGACTGCAGACCTGCCAGCTGATGTTACCTCTCCCAGTCACTTTCAGGTTGCCTCATGGACCATAAGGTCTCTCCCGGCCAAAGGCTGAAAACTACTGCTTGGAGGATGGTGAATGAGCATAATAAGCCTCTCTCAGGGTCACTGGCCTGGCACGATGCTCACACACACCATGTAATGTGCTACAAGGAACATTTTATTTTTTGCTCAGCCTGTCAGTCTCAATTTCAACTCTTTTAAACTTTTCCTTTGCCACAGGAAACACCAGAGGACTGCGGAAGATGACCATCAGCTTATATAGCGTAAAGAAGAGTTGGCTTAGATATTACAGTATTAACATTTCCATGGGTCTCCCTTATCTCTAGCATTTTTTGATTTTCATCAGAAGTTGATTGATTCTGGCATTTTTGTGTTGCTCTGGACCCTTAAAGCCTGGTAAGAAATCATCATCTCTGGCTTTTAAACCTTCACAATCTGAATGTGTCTCTTTGCAGGCACATGCGCCTGTGTGCAGACACACAGTTGTATTTCAATACACAGAGAAAGGTGTTTATGTTATGTATCTCTCTGGAAATCGAGTCTGTGAAACAGGGATGGCTCTTTCTTCTAAGCATTTAGAAACATTCCATGACCCCTCTCTGCATTTGCAGAGCAGATTTTGCTGCACAACCAGCACTTAAGAGAAGGGTTTGTGGCCCCAGCTGCTGTGTTAGGGTGGTTTTCCCTCTCCAGCAGTAACTTTTGAACATGGAGAAGCAAACGGTAGCATACTTGTAAGTACTTGAAGTGGTTTTGCTGATCAGGGTTCAGAGCTCCAGTTAGTCATTATTTCATAGCACAGAAGAAATACAGCCTGTCTTCTCTTAGTGACAGGCACACCCAGTGCGTGGTACCACTAATATACAGTGATGAGAATTAAAAAAGGAATTAACTAAAACTGGCCTATTCAAAACTTCAGGATAAGGATCAAGACGTTACCTGGTGTGATCATCAGCGGTCACTGATGACAAGAACACTGGGGAGATGGGGGGGGGAGATGAAAAGCAAAAGCTTATGGTATGCCTCGGGCAGACAAAAGAAGAGTCAGTAAGAAACACTTATATTTTCCAGAGCAAAGAGATTAATTAGCAAGGAGGGCTGATTTTGCAGCACAGAGCAGGTTTTCTGCACAAATGGGATTGAATAGCACCATTATAGAGATGGAGTTGTGTTTCTTCTCTTGGGAATCCATGGTTTGTTTGCTAGCGAGGGAAGAGGGACTCCTTAGTTCTGCCAGTAAATCTATCCCCAGTGAAAGCAAATCTTAGTAAATAGGGAAGTTGGTTTGTCTGGGGGCTTTTTTGTTTGCTTGGGTGGGCTGTTTTTTTTGCATGTTCACGTGTGCCTTGTTAACTGGTGGTGTCCATCCACATCCCTGCAAGTGCTCCTTGAAGCTAAGAGTGTTTACAGGGTAAAGTGATGAAAGAAAGGGAGCATCACCACCACCTTACACTGTTGTCACATACTTTGCATCCAGTGGCCATTTTAAAGTAAATGACAACTTATGAGACAGATTGTCTGCTACATTTTACCTATTTGTCATGATCTCAACAATTTCTGTTACAGTTCCCACCTCAGGAACATTTCTTAAATGACAGGAAAGTGGGACTGTTTGGCCACTTTTATGCTGAAGGAGTGCCATGAAAGGAGGATAGGGAAAATGGATGGAAAAAAGGCAGTTGCATAAGATGTGGCTAACCAGATGATTCAATCTGGCATCACTAGGGAGAAAGGAACTGAGATATAGGAAGAATTACATATATATATATATATATAAAGAAAGCATATGGGCATCTGGAAGGTGAGGTTAAGAAGTATGACCTTGCTGTAGGATGGAAAAAAGGAGTGTAAAGGATCCCTGTAAGAGAGGCACAGGATGCTGAGAAAAGTGATTTATCACTTGGTTTTTGGGTTGGGTGACAGATGGGAGGCTGTGGAGAGGAAGAAGACACAGAAAGGAGGAGAAAGGGGCACACAGCAGACTAGGCTAGACCTCAGAAGGGTGGTGAAGGGAAGGTGACAGGCGATGTAGGTTGGGAGGGAGCCGGGGATGGTTGCCAACCTGCTTGGTGATGGGGTGGCATTGTCAGTGATGACACTGTCAGGGATGGCAGGCAACGGGAGTAGGATAGGGGGGATATAGGAGAAGAAAGAACTCTCAGCACTGACATGGGAGGGGTGAGTTCAGTTCTGATCTCTCAGTGCAGTTCCTCGAAATCTGGGGCCATCTGGACACAGTCCTGTCCCTCATACAAGCTGTCAGCAGCACCGAGGGATTGCTCTGGCAGCCAGGACTTCCTGGCACATCCAAGAGCCTCTGTGCTGATGGCCAGGAGGGCAGATGGCACCGGATGCACTACAGTGGCTTTGCACCACCTGGTGCCCCCAGTTTCAGGGGAGTCCTGCAGAGCCAGGTGAGCCCCTGGCTCCAGGCACTGCAGTGTCACTCAGCCCGATGGTGTAGAGCCACATTGCAGTGAGCAGACACCCAAACACCTTCAAGGATATGAGCAGTGGTGCAAACCTTCAGGGTGGCCACATTTGGTATTGTTTGGTTGTGTTTTGTCAGGCATCACCAAAGCAACAGCCTGAGGTGGGTGGCAAAGCAGGAGAGTGAGAACTTGGCTGACACAGATGTCTGAAAAGGAATAGGTATTTGTAGTAACTGGTTTCTTCAACCCCATCTTCCTTTGCTCAGCGTAGTCCTGATGAGTAAATTCAGATTTGGGCTTTTGTTTTGAGTTTCTCCATCCATAGATATGAGTCTCTGCAAATGTTGGCTATTCCTTTTCATGGGCACCTATACATTAAAGATTATTTTATTCCAGAAGTATTTTATTGGCTTTTAACCATCCCAATAGCAACACTAGTTTATTATAGCGTATCTGGAGGATGTGGTATATCTGGACAGCATATCCTCATAGCATAGCATAATGGGGATCTGAAAAGTAAAAGATTTGGGGAAAGAAAGTGATGGTATGTGTTTATTACTGAGCTTAGAGGTGTGAAAAATAAAGCAAGTGATTACAGCTCCTCAATGAAAAAAATCAAGGCTTCAGTAAAGACAGTATAAAATTGTGTTAGAAGAGATGCGATGGGACGCAAATAGTGACTGCATATTGGTTAAAGGGTCAATTCACCCTGGCTGAGGAGCACTGGCTGTTCCTCCTCTCACCTCAGGCGCTGCTTGCAGATACGTGAGAGAGGGAAGAGGTAGTAGTCAGTTTGTCCCAACCAGATCCCTAACAAACTCTTCTGATAGAAGAGACCCCGAGACTTTCTAGCTTGGATCCCATATGTGCATGTATTTCTTCTACTGGAAAATGTGAATGTTTAAAAATAAATTACATCTATTTCAGTTAAACTAAGACTTCTCAAATCTATGTATGACTTTCTGGTCAAAACCAATAAGGGTAACATTGACCCACAGTGAAGATATTCACAGAGTGAAATAGAAAGATAAATAGGAGGTCTGAGTTTTCTCTGCATCATAACCAGGTTCCCTAAGTATTAATTTATTAGTCATCTAGTAAAGGGAAGATAGGAGGAAAAAAAAAAATAAAATAATTCAAATTGATAAATTGTATTTAATTGTATTGTTTTATTTGTTAATTGTTTTAATTGTATTTTATCACAATACGTGAAAATTGATGTAATGAATTCCTATGCAAGCAAATACCTATAAACACACAAATAACTGTGTACCCATACTGGGCTCATAGAAATCAGAGACGAGCCTCAGAAATTTACCTTAAACTATGTTAGACTGCACAGCAATGTCACTCTACCCCAGAAGAGCATCTTGCCCAGCATCCACTGTATGGTTATACACTCTGCTTTGGGACTGCACTAACATGGCAGCTTAGGAAGTACACTTAAATGACCTGAATAGTGTGACACATGACCATCCCAATCTCCTTTTTCAGATAGGTCAAAAAGATGAAAACCACTGACACCATAGCCTTGACACTTGAAAGAATGCTGTAAGTACAGTGAATGTTGTTCGGGGAAGGGACGTATTAGCTGTAAATATTATTAAAGCAGATACTGATTTAAAAATGCATGAACTGTAGAAGAAAGGGAACCATGGCACAACCTGTTAGCAATAAAATTGGAAAGAGAAACATTGCTTACCCAGCTGGTAAAATCATGGAGAGTAAAACCAAGTGAAAAATAAACACCAGATTTAGATGCACACTCAATATATCTGGCTGCCTGCAAAAGCTGGTGCTACTAAGGAAGAGAACTCTATAATCACACCAAAACTATCCAAGTCTGTTCAGATCTCTACAACTGCAGAGTCTCTCAGCCACCTTCACTCACACAGCAAGCAAGCAGTGACCCAGCTCTACCTATGCTCACTCTGCTGACACAGAGGACTGGACTTAGACTCAGAACAGATTAATCTTCATAGAATCATACAATCATATGGAATCATACAAACACAGAATCATAGGTTGGAAGGGACCTTAAAGATCACCTAGTTCCACCCCTCTGCCGTGGGCAGGGACACCTTCCACTAGAGCAGGTTGCTCCAAACCCCTGTGTCCAACCTGGCCTTGAACACTGCCAGGGATGGGGCAGCCACAGCTTCTCTGGGCACCCTGTGCCAGCGCCTCAGCACCCTCACAGGGGAGAGCTTCTGCCTAATATTTAATCTAAATCTAGCATCTTTCATTTTGAGACCATTACCCCTCATCCTATCACTACACTCCTTGATATCTTGGACATCTATATTCCCTCAAAGGATCCAGAGACAGCTTTACAATCATAAACAGAATGAATTTCAGGAGTATGGAATTAATACCCATTGGGAGACTTCGGTGCTAAACATCCACTGATTTCAAAAGAGAAGTTTTAAAAACTTCTTTTGTTTCCTGATTAGCTCCTATGAACACAGTTTCTGGGTGTCCGAGCTCTCATGAAAAATCAAAGGAAGCCTGCATGCAAAGTGAGAGTACAGTTGTCACTTTGGTTTACCCATGCTTGTCCCGGAAAATGAAAAGAGGCTTTTCTCACTTTGTTTTTTTTTTTTTTACATGCACTTGTGCAACACAGTTGTCTTTGGAGTTAAACTTCTCATTGTCGTGTTGGAAACCCAAAGTGTGAATGCAAATCCCCTGATGGCTTAGTCCCGCGTTTCTGAGCCTCATTGCAGAGACATCTTTGAAAATTTGGCCCCATTTTGTAGTGATAACATGACAGATTCCTCTTGTGCTGAAATTCTGGTGAGCAGTGTGCCTGGAGGCTTGGCTCCTTTGCTAGGATTAAAGTCTGGGGTTTAAAGACAGTAGCTTATTTCCCCCCCTCCACACTCCTCCAACAGCCATCAAAATAGAGATATCTGCTTTGAGAGGAAAACAAATCCACAGATACAGAATTACAGTTATCCCAACTGACTGGTGTTTGAAATCTCCCAACTAAGCCTGTGCTCCCTGGTTAAATTCCTCTGCCTGAACCTGGAGCTGGTTTTCACTGTTCTTCCATTGCTTTGAGCAGGCAGGATTTCTAGAGAAGCTCGCTTTCACCCTGTTTTCTTCAGAAATGGAACTGCATTTCTGTCTCTTACTGATCCTGAGCATATAACTTATGTGACTTCTCACCTTAGGTTCCCATTAAAGGACCTGGTAAGTTGGGTGGGTAGCTCTCCTTCCCCAGTTCCTGAACTCTCATTGTTTGTCACACGAAAGGGCACCTTTGTGCCAGGATCAAGTCCTCCAGCTCCTTCACTTCTTCAAAGATATCTTTTTATGATAGAAATTTTTCTCAAGCCCTTGCCAATTAAGTTCAGTTTAATAACTCTGACCATTTATGTGACACATTTCATCTTGGAAGAGCTAATAAAAACACTAATTACTGTTCAGAGTGCTCCCAAGAGGCAGATTTTCATTATCACACCCTCATTCCATTGTTAGGGAAACTGAGGCAACGTGATTTGCATAAGACACCAGACTGGAACCCTTGCCAAACCACCCAGTTGAGTTCAGTGCTGCACGGTTTCCCATGTGGGGCAAAATCTACTTCTTTTAGGTATAAATGGAGGAAAATCTCCAGTTTTAATTCCAGGGTTCAGCAAAAGAAGCAACCAAGAGCACAGAGCTGTCAAGTCTTTGAGTAGCTACTTCTTCCTCATGTTCTGATTAAGCTCCCTGCTGTTGCCTCAACTCCCTTGGCAAACGTGGAGGTTCCTCTCAAAGACAGCAAGCTCTTTTGGGTACAAAAGACATGCAGAAGTCTCACAATGGCTTCCAGGGGCGTTTGTATTGGGGTTCAGTGAATTCATCCAACGATGTATGTTGAGATGAATTATCCATGCGATCATGACTATGCTGCTACACCAGATCTCTGTAACTATCAACAGCTTCTGAGTCATTTGAGGGAAGATATGAAGGTGAGTGGAGGGAGCCAGACCATGAAAATGATGTCTGTACATCTTCCAGTTCTTTTCTGGGCATTAAACTTATAATGCCAGGGCAATGTGTCTCAATTTGAGAAATTTAATGCCTTCAAAGCACCACCAAAGCACAATTAGCAAATAGAAAAGAAAAATAAACAAAACACCCCAACCCAATGGAAGTCAAGCAGGAGACTCTATGTAGTTCTCACATCAAAGGAATATTACTTGTGCTTTCATCTCCCTTTCCCCTTGTGAGTTAAAAGTACAATGTATCACCGCATATTTAAAGCGTTTTCCATTTTGAAAGCTTAAATGTCAGTGTAATTCCCCCAATGCTAATTTCTGTTGTGCTGTTCCAGGCTGGTACTTCAACAGAACATCTCTCACTTTCCACATGATTATCTCCATCTCTGCCTTTGATAGGTTTGCATTCAATTGCTTCAAGTATTCACTCTGGATTTGAACCAGTTGGTATTCCTTGACAATTTGCTTTGAACACTGTCAAATAAGGTATGGTACTGCCTTTTATGGGGTGTTTTTGATGTCTTACTTTCCCCTGGTTCCTCTGTCCTTTTCTCTTTCTAATGTGGGATCGTGTGGTTGCACCTAGACTCACTCACTCTTTGGAGCAATCTATAATAGAACCACTTGGAAAAGAACATATCTTATTTTTACTTTTCTATGTTTCTTTCATTAGAATGAACTTTGCATTGGAGGATTATTGACAAATATGTTTTAAAAAGATGTGAATAAAAACCTTTATGGTCCATCTTGTGGTAAAAAGCGGGTATTTCTTTGCTCATTTGAATGTCAGTAGATTATTTACGCTGGTGCAATGTTTTGAAGAGATAAAATACTCCCCACTGTGCTACATGCAAATCTCTGCAATGTAAACATAAATAGTTGTTGCACATGCATAATCAAAGATTTTTTTTTGTAATTATTGTTGGGTAGTTCAGTCCTCTAATGGCATCATCTGGTGTAAACCAGTGTAGCCCTACTGAAGTCTGCAAAGTCCCTACCAGTTTGTACCAGATGGGACTCAGACTCTTCACTCTAAGTTTAGACCTGGAAAAAAAACAGAGAAAAAGACAGAAGCCTGATAGTCCTTGAAAATAGAGCTCTTTGTTAATTCATGGAAAGCTAGAAGAGCAAGAGTGGCAGGGACTTTTCTTGATCCATTGTATGCCTCAGCCCTTATCTAGGGAGAACATTTTTGCGATGAGGGAAACCATGGGTTTCTGTGCCAAGTTAGTTCCTGGCCCCTATGCTCAGATGACTGCAAAGATTTGCCAGATAATGTCATTTATAATGTGAGCTCCTTTCTGCCAAGATTTGGACTAAGACCACCAGCTCTTTAGCACAGGCCAGCAGACTGCTGCCAGGTGCTAAGAATTTTCAGTTGTTCACAACCTGTGCTGCATTTTTAGATACCTAAAGGTGAAGGGTTTGAAATCTGGTTTTCTGTCCCCAGAGCAATCTTGTTTCACTGTCATTCAGCATTATCTTTTCTCCAGCATTGTACACAGCAGAAAGAACTTGCTAAAGCTACTTTGACACCTGATTGTACGCCAGCTGAAGACAACCTCAGTCTTATTCTTTTGGTGTTCTGTAGACAAACTTTGCTCTGAGTTTATATAAAATACAATATTCAGTAGCATTCATTTTCACAATTTAGACTACGTCATTGGAATAGCTACTAGCAGAGACTGCCCATGCTGGTTTTAATGCTATAAATACACATTTATTTCCAAATTATCAATGCTATTAACTGGCATACATAGTGTTTAACTGGCATACATACATCCAACAGACATGAAGCAATCTTTGCATAAAAAGAGGTGGGCAACTTTTGAATGCTTTTGAATGCTGATAGCAAAAATATCTATTAAATACTAAATTATTGCTTATTATAAGATAGTAGAATGTTCACCTAAACTTCATGGAGGAGCAAGATTTTACAGAAGTGAAAAGTATACACATACACACACACAATAAATGCATCCAGCTTTCAGACAACTAAAAGTTCGCATTACTATGATCAGCTCTTTTAGGTTTGCCTATGAGAGTTTTTACCTCTTTTCTGCATTTTCAACAAGATCCTCCAAAACAGTTGTTATTCTTCTATAAATGAGCTTGATGTGGACACAAAGTTTTTTGCAAGAAGTCTGAGCTACTGTTAGCAGCTACTGAAGAGCTCTAAGTCCGATGTGGGTTTAATTTGTGATGAGTGCCATGGCAGAACAGTCTAACAATATAAGCCTGTTGGACATGTCGTCTGGGCTGTCACGTTCAATTTGCACATGACCTCCTGGCCAAAAAATGGGAAAGAAGTGGTAGAATGTGGGACTGAAAGCTTATATTATTGCTTTGACAGCTTCACTCATCTAGAAGTAATGCAAAATGCAATTTATATTTATACTCTCTGACCTTCTGTACAGAGAGGGAAACTATCTAATGATGGGCCATGGTAGCAGAGAAAGAAACAGATCTCAATACAGCTGGAATTTGTCTACATTTTTTGCTTTTCAACCATTCAATTACAGTCAAAAGATAAATGAGACATGAAGAGTGCCTTGGTTAGGTAGTGACACAATTATTTTATAGTGAGTAGGTTCTGGCTTTGAGCCTTGGCAAAGGTTGCCATGCACGCCTTGTTTCACTAGATACAGATAATCTGCCTGCTCCCACCGGCCAAATCCCCTCTGCTTGGAGGTGTGTCATTATGCCCATCACAGGAGGAGAAGAAAGACACCAGCAACTCAGTACCACTCTTCCAGTGCATTTGAATATCCTTGAGAGAGGCTGATGCTCTAATCCTATTAACTACGATAAATCAAGTCAGGCCTAATTGTAAACTGGGACATTACTCATTTTTGTGGAAAACAGGCAGATAGGAAGAACTTGTCTTAGGGAAAAGAAGTAAACAAACCAGGCTTTGATTCTGACAGAACTGCTGAAGTAAATACTAGGTAACACCTGAAGATCCTTAACAACATGTCTCAGAGCAGATATCCTGCTGCCACAGCTCAGCATCCTTCAGAGGGCTTCACTGCAGCCACGATGGTTTACAACAGCATGATTTGGCTCAAAAATTCAGCCTCCAGCTGTATCTGTTTCTCCCTTTTCATCCAAAAGAGACACTGCATTTGAAGGAAAAGTTATTTGCAGGAATGAGAATTGAGAGAAGACAACAGGTAAAGAAAATGGGAAGTACAGGTTTTTCATATCCCGGTGTATTTTAGACAACTACACTAGTTTGAATTCTCCTCTTTATCCCATTGATCCATTCTGCCTTGAAAAGGAGTTGACAAAAGTCCATTGACCTCAACAGTGAGGTTTCTTTTCTGTTTTGTTTTATGTGGGACTGCCACATTTCAATAAGTGGTTTTTTTGCTTTTAAAGATTCGATAATTAAAACCCATGTTATTGAACAACAATTTCAACTGATATCCACCTTTCTTTGTGGAATTCCTTTTTTAAAAGATAGGGGATGGTAATAATAATGCAACTTATGGTCACTATACAGTTAATATGTCAGAAAAGAACAAAAATGCAGAAACAAAGTCTACAGAAAGGTGATGTTTAATAAATAAATGCAGTAAGATGAGACAACTAAGACAAAAGAGTGCAATGATAAGAAGCTGAGTGAAGATTAATATGCAATTTATCTTTCTTTTGGTTTGTTTCCCAGCAAGAGTACTTTGTCCAAACTATTAGTTACCCTACAGGTTTAAAACTTCTTACTACTGCACCTTTTGGAGCAGAATATAACTATAGTTTTGAAATTATAAAGGAACTTGGAATCTAGTCAATTTATGTAGCTTCTTCCTCTGGTCCCTGCAGGCTGGTGCGAGCTCATGGCTTTCCAGCCTGTAACGTTCAGTACATGGGTTTAAATGATGAGGACTGAGATCTCTGGGGTGACTCTTCAGAGGCGAGGGGCAGGGCTGAGGGTGAGCATGGCCTGTGAGGGGCACTCAGCAGTGTGAACCTCGCAGTTGGTGCACATGTTTAAATCAATACTCACCTCCCCTAAGGCTCCTCCTTCCAAGGAGTTTCACATCCTGACCACGGAGTGATCTAACAGGGAGGTCTGCTGTTTTTCCTTTCCTCTTGTTTCCAAGTGGGCAGCTAGAATAGAAAGAATAAGTTAAAGCAACCACAAAAAACCCACAACAAACATGCCTAGGTCCAAAATCTTGCCTAGGTCTGACTCCTGCTGGTGTCACCACAGGCTTTGCCCTTGGCAGCAGGAAGAAAGATGAGGCCTTTGATTCGGGTGGGAGGGAGAGGAACACCCCTGGGTAATTGCAAGGTTGCTTTTGCAACCTCTTGCCCAGCAGCTGGTACAGTAAGCAGTGCTCCTCTCACACGCTTCACAGGTCTTTTCCAGCTGAGTCACTGTGTAAAAATGGAGCAGTTGAGCTGGCATTTTAGAGCTTTGATTTGGAGGGGGGAGAGGAAAAAAATCTCCCTCTTTTGTCTGTACTTTTTTTCCACTGAGCTGCTGGAGTGAAGCAGTTAATAGTGATTCCCCCCCCACACACACACCCCCCCAATCATTTTTAATCCACATCCCTGCCCTGTACCTGCCCTTATAATCCTCTAGCATGTGCTGGTGACATCACATGGCCATCAGCTTCCAGCTCCATCCCTGTGACTGTCATTAACTGTTGCAAGCAAATGAAAAATGACTGGGAGACTCTTTGGCTCCCACCAGTGACCTTGGGTATTATTAGAATGACCTCGCTTTGGCTTGACCATAAAAAAAACAGAAAAACCTTTCTTGATATTATCACAAGGGGCTGGGGCTGAACTGAGGTTGTTTGCGGCAAGGAGGGGGGAAAGGAGTGGAGGAAACCATTAAAGGAAGCAAAGTAAATGTTATGCAAAGATACAGTGGCCATAAATGCTTGATCAGAGGCACAGCCCCGTCACCAGCCCCGCAGCCTGACCCCTTGCCAGGACACTGCGGGCAGTGCTGTGGTTGCAGTGCACCTTGTCACGCGTAATTTCAACCCACCTCCTGTTTGTTATTTGTTTGCTCTGTCTTTACAAAGATGTAAAATCACAGGTAAACAGTTCAGGGCTCGTTGGCCTCTCACACCCTATGTTCTGGTGTAGTGCTCCAGTCCAACGCACACCTCTGTCAAAACAGGAGGCACCAGACAGTGTGCAGGATGCACAGACAGGGCAGGATGCACACATTTTTGTGTAGTATAACACGTGGAAAAGCTGTCTTATGTATCTATCTACACATACGTACTCTATGTGGAAGCACACACATATATATACAGTATACGTTTATAAATGTATGTATGTATCTAAAAATAAACATATACAGCACATATTTATAGATATTCATATTGTGCATTATTCTCAATGTATATGAATATAAAGAGAGCACATGCTTATCACACACGTCTTATATTACCTTCCATATAATATACAACAGCATATAGCAGTCACATATCTTCCTGTGTAGTCTAATGATATTGCTAATAGAAATAGAAATAGTAATAAAGAATAAGAATACAAGTAATAATAATAATAGTAAGTAATAATAGTAGTAACAATAATAGTAATAATAATAGTAAGAGTAAGAATGGGAGTAAGAATAAGAATAATTTGCACAGTTGGACTGGGCCATGGGGACATGAGGATGCTCTGCTTTTAATGCCCTCACTGACATGGACCTGGAGGCTCCACTGGGGCAGGAGCTGTCCAGGACCTTCAGCCCCAGGACCCTCAGCCTTGGTCCCAGTG